CCGTATAAATATGAAATTCGCGACCTTCCAGTAAGTGTCGGAAGTGACGGATGGATGGGTAAATAGCGAGCAGTTCACAACCAAATGTGCTGAAACGGGACTCGGTTGGCGACAGCTTATAAGAGAAAAATGCCAGGGGTTGATGGGTGTTGTTAGTAGTTTGCTGTAAAACAGCACCTACAGAGTCATTGGAGGTGTCCATATTAAGTGACAATACAGAGTTGGGTTGTAAATAAAACAACTTGAAAGAATTCGCTAAAGAAGCTTTGACTTGCTCAAAAGCAGAAATAGCGGAGTCGGTCAAATGAGACGTTTTTGGTTTTCCGGATATGAGATTGGTGCGTGGTGCTAACAATGATGCAGCCTTGGGAATAAAGCGTCTGTAGAAATTTATCATACCCAAAAAACGCTTAAGTTGTTTAAATGAGGTGGGTAGAGGAAAATTTCGGATGGCATCGAGTTTATCATCAGTAGGCGATATACCATCCTGATTAACCGTATGTCCAAGAAAATTTAATGTGGGCACGCCAAAAATATATTTTTGTGCGTTGATAACAACGCCATGGTCGCGCAGTCTAGTGAATAAAAGGCGTAAATGTTCTATATGTTGCTCCACACTATTCAATTACCAGTGCACAGGTGGCGATAGTCATAATACAAATCAGAAGGTGAATGTGCACTAATAGAAGCTTTTGTATGGTTGCGACACGTATGAAAATGAATACAATGCGAAATGGGAGCAAGTCAAAAAGGAACTTATCGTATGTGAGAGTTCCTTGGTAAAAGTTCGGACGGCGGTAACGTGTTTTCTCCGCAGTTTGGCTGCTACACGTGTTCCATGATTGTCCGTGGACTTGTGGAGAGGTTGACGTCCTGCTCCCTGCGCGCGCGTGAGTCTGTGTCTTGACTGCGTTCGGTTTGCGTTTATGTAGGTCCCAGTGCGTGTATGTGTGTGCGTCGGCATATGAGTGGTTGCTACGCTGACTAGGCCGTGCGGACAATCGATGTCCGATGAGCCAGCTTAATGCGACGTGTTTGTGCGTATGAGAAAAAAGACAAGCCTCGCGATCCAGTGGGCGACAGTGAGTTGAACAGTCAAGTATGTGGGTGACTGGGTCGCTACACCCTTTCTACCAGGCGATGTGGCTCCCCTACATACACCTGTTCTCTGTATTTCGAGATACGTTCGTTCCGAGTAGTGATGCCTACTCACCATAGACTTATTCTTAGCTTGCTTCCCAATCCATCAACGACGGCTGCCGGGATACAACCTACCGGAAAAAGGTGTACCCCTTACACTTGTTCCGAAACCACCGCCGACAGCCTTCGGTGGCCTTCGTAAACAGCTGAACCGAGTGATGGATAGGCTTCAGAGGCTGAAATCCTGGAGGACCATGATCATCTTAAAGTGATTGTTCAGGGAAAACCCCTGCTGCGTCAAGCCTCAAAGTCTGCAACCAATGACCTGCCATTGGTGGCCAAGGATGCTGCACCTCAACCCAAATGGAGGTCTGGAAACGCTGACTTGGGCTTTTGTGTGCTCTGTGACCGGCCGACTACTACCAGTGACCGCTAGTGTGCAATGGATCGCATGCCTGGACGGACCTGTGGCTTATAATTAAAAAAAGACTAAGCATAAGTGGAACAGGTCTAAGGATCGTCCCCGCACGGCGGGGAACGCTCATCACCACAACAGTCGACGTGATATGATAGGTGATCCGTTTCTCAACAGTGAGCGATAGTACTATTCGGCAGGTCACAAAGCAGACAAAATCCATGTTTGTGTGCCTGGACAACACCTTATGGTATAGGGCAGTGTACTTTGACCACCGATGGCAGGATTTCACTTGCCAACGATGAGCCTTAACGCAGCATGTTCAGCCGCTGTACAACCAATTGCATAACGATGCCTGCATTTTCCTGGGTTCTCACTCCCGAAGCTTATCTATCACCTTTCAGTTTTTTACGCAGGCTTCTTAAAGCTGTCGGCAGTGGTTGCGGAACAGGCTAAGGGTCAGAATTTTTCCGGCTGGTTGGAATCCTATCACTACCATTGGTTGATTAGGAAGCAACCCAAGAAACATACACGAAGAACATTTCTTACTGCTTGGAACCGACTGAGAGCAAATGGGTGTGGGGGAGCTACTTTGCGCGTTAAAAGGAGCATGTGTATTCTCCTGCACATGTCAACCGCCTGGGAGCATCTACCTTTTTGCACCGCGATCTGTAATTAAGTTAGCGTAGGTTGACCTCACTAGTTTGTTTTAACACTGTAATGGTGTAGTCTTGGCGGTCTCAAAATAAAGTGCCTCAAAAACAGGGAAACATCCGTACATGGTCATTCCGCAGATCACGTTAAAAACGTGGACGTCGCGATCAAGGATTTCCCGTCGGTCACAGTGTTACGACGTATGCGTCTAAAATTTCCATAGGCCCCACTCAGCACACCAGAACAGCTTTTGTGTGGAGTGCTCTAGTGTATCTGGTTTTTATGGCGGCCACTGACTCTCTCCAGACGATTTTTAGTCACATCGACACAGTGAACCATATGAGATTGTGTGTGTGCAGCCCATTGTCGGGTTAAGGTACAACAAGTCAGCCATATGATAAGAGACGAATCGCACGTCCTTGCGGTGCAGCATTTGAGGATCCTGTCGGAAGTCGTGTGCTCGCATGAACATAAAAAACCCACTGTAACACACTGCCAGGCCAAGCCATGCGGTGGAATATGTGCTGGCTGCTTGCGGAGTGTCTTTATCCTCAAGTACATGGACGTTATACAATAAACACGCAAATCTGCTTTAATTTTTGGGTTTAATGCACAAATACCACAGTCACCCTTCATGTACTTATTTACAGCCATTTGAGACGTCGTGAAAGATAAGAGGGATGGCGCCTCAAGGTCCTCATCATACACACAAGCCACTCTTGGGGCTATGGTCCAAAAAGTTCAAAGCGGAATATTGTCCGAAAATCGAGAAAGGAGATTATTTAAAACAAATCGCGATTTTCGGCTTGGGCACACATGCACCAAAATGCAACATTTTATCCCCAAAACCTTTGTACTTTTGCGTGTGCTAACGAAATTCCGGCATTTTTCGGGGTCAAACTGTGGATGAATATACGCAATGTCATTTTCCGTTGATTTGCCTGTTGATCGCGTGTTGGTTGGAGCAATAAATTTGTGTCCAAGGGTTTTGTCTTCTTACTATTCGCCGTTCTCGGAGTATGTATCAAACAACATTACTGGGGATAGGATATTGTCACAGTCCGCATATCTTACTGCTTCCTCGCTGCGTGGTTGAACCGAAACATATTTGGCGATAGAAACGGAATGCAAAACAACTTAAAGCAACGTCTGAGCAACAACTGCAACTCATCAAAGTACTTACGGAGCTACTTTCAGATACATCTTTGGCTTCACCGGCTGCGTCGAGCGTCCCACGATCGGTTGATGGAATCGCTGGCAGCATCAACGAGTTTTGCTATGAACCCTCGGCTGGCATAACGTTTGACGCTAGGTTTCGTCGCTATGAAGACCTATTCAAGGTCTATGTTTCAATTAAATATGACAATTGGAAGGTCCGCCTCCTGCTCCGCAAACTTGGACCCACAGAGCATGATAAGTACGCCAAATATATTCTGCCAAAGAACCCACTTGACTTAACTTTTGATGGACCGGTCCACACATTTTCGCAAATGTTCGGTAAGCAACCGTCGCTTTTCAACATCCGTTATCGAGGCATGAAGCCGGTGAAGATTGACGCAGACGAATTTTTCACATATTCTGGCATCGTGAACCGGGGATTTGAACGGTTCAAACTCGGATCTTTAGCGGAAGATAAGTTCAAGCTGCTGATTTTCATATGTGGTCTTTAATACCTCAAGGATGCGGAAATCCGTACCCGATTCCTCAACCGCATCGAGCAGGACCCATCAATGACGCTGCAGGCCATCACCTCGGGATGTCAACGATTGCTTTGCCTGAAGCTGACACCGCGATGGTCCAACTTGGGGGTCACGACGGTTCCGTAGTTCATGCGATACATCAGGATACACAACAGCTTGGCCTTGTCAATTCCGGGCCAACAAAATCGACTCCGCGGTGTTCTGGTCCAAGGCAAAACAAAGGCTCAATGTTGGCACTGTGGATCCCGCACTTCGTCAGGTTCTGCCCCTTCAAGCAGCACTGTTGCCACCAGTGTAAGTCTAAGGGACACAAAGATGGGTATCGTTAGTCACAGATGCATACGGCCTCTGCTGGTTCAAAGCCGTCACTACACGTCCATCTCAAACTGAAATCGAGCGCTGTTGGCTCTTCTCCCAGTTTGCTGGCTACTTTACAGATCAACACGCCAGGTCACCGGAAGTATCTCACAGTCACCGTCATGGACCATCCAGTCCGTCTGCAGTTGAACACTGCGTCGGATATCACCATCATTTCGGAGAAGCTTCCGCGCACGCTCGGGCTAGTAGTAGATCGAACCGGCAGAACCGGTAGATCGAACCGATACCAGTGCCCGCGGTGGGGAGTTAAAAATTTCCGGTTAGCTCCAATGCTGTGATTCTTATTGAGGAACTACATTCGTGTGGTCGTGTAATGTAACGGCAGCTGGGTTGAACTTACTGGGTCCTGATTGGTTCGATCGCTCGGCGTTAGCCGACCTTCCAGTCAGCGTCATTTGCAATGCAGTTCGGTCTCCCACGGCGCGTCCAGATCATGCACCCAACATTATCAAGCGATTTCCAGTTATTTTCGAATCCAGTCTCGGTCAGTGCACCGCGACACAAGCAGTCACCCACCTCCTGTCAGGAGCTACGGCAGTCTTCCGTCCACAGAGAGCAGCAACGTACGCTTCCCTCCAAATGGTAGATGTCAAACTTCAACGGTTGGAACAGCAAGGCGTCCTGTTTCCTGTATCCAATTCCGCCTAGGCAGTGCCGATCGTTGTGGTCAGAAAGCCCAACGGTGACATCCGCATATGTGGGGTTTCTCAACCGGCCCAATTACAGCCATCTAGCAGCACCACTATCCATTGTCAGTACCAGACGATCTATTCACTTTTCTGAACGGCGAAGGTTCTTCGCCAAAATTGACCTTGCTGCAGCGTACCTTCAAGTTGAAGTCACACTAGAATCACGCCCACTACTGACAATCAATACACACCTCGAGCTGCACCAATACAACCGTCTCCCGTTTGGCTCCAAATCCGCCCGAGCAATTTTTCATTGCCCTTTCTGGCGTTCCAGGTGTGGTTCTATAACTGAAGGACGTGATTATCGTTGCTGTTTCACCCAAAGAACTTCGTGATTGAATCAATGCGGTCTTACTGCACAATCACGACAATGATCTTCGCCTCCGTCCTGAGGAGTGTCACTTCACCTTGACAGCAGTGAAACCCCTTGGTTTCATCTTCGATGCCCCTGATCGTCATCCCGACCCGAAGAACGTTCGAGGTCTCGAGCAGATTCCGTCTCCTAAGTATGACCCATCATTATGTTCCCTTTTGGGGCTAGTCAGCTATTATTCAGCACTCTTGCCATCGTCACACGACATTCGACCCTCACCGAATCAGTTGCTTGAAAAGGACGTCCTTTGGCGTTGGTCAGAAGAATGCGAGGAAGCATTTTCCGAGCTTAGGGCGATGCTCAGCTCCGATGTGCTATTGACCCGCCACGACCCAAGTCTGTCGATCGTTGTGGCAGCTGATGCCTCTGCCTTTAGCGTCGGTGCCGTCATTCTGCACGTCTTTTCAGACGGACTGGAGAAGGCCATCATGCACGCGTCGAAATCACTAACGCCAGCAGAACAGCGTTATGGACTGACAGAAGAAGTTTCGGCCTTAGTGTTTGCTGTCCGGCGTTTCCATAGGTCATTTTACGGTTGCCATTTCACCCTACTTACTGATCGTTAACCGTTGCCGTCTATTTTCGGTTCAAAGAGAAGTGTTTCCGCAAATTCTC